TTATTTTTATTTATTTACTTATTTTTTTTGTTTTGTTTATTATTATAAATTACTTTTTATTTTTCACCAGCTTCAACAGCCAAACTTTTTTCATCTAAAATCTACATTAGCGTAGCCTTTATGACCAAATAAATAATCAAATCTGCCTCATTTATGCACGAGCACAGACCCAAAGCTTTTTGGGGACACACCCGAAAGTTCTTTGAATGAATGCCTGCTTATAGATTCAAGAGACTTTAATCGAAGCGTGATATTATCTTTTTTATATATATATATATTTCTTTTTTTTTTCGCACATAATCTGAGTGGCCAGCAAGCGCCATATGCGGCGTATGCGTGTTTTCTCTGCCGAGTTTACGGGTTAATCGCATGTTGCATACTTACAGGCGCAATCGGTTGGAAAGAGCATTTCTCGCTATTAATTTTTTTTTTCTTGTTACAAATTTACGTTTATTGTGTCAATCGACTCTTGACTGCAGCTGCCAGCTGTTGTGGATATTCATAACGGTCACTGCTTTAAGAATCCGGCAACTCTTTATTATTGTACTTGAAAACCTTGGATTATTATAAATTATTATCTTTACATTATTTAACTTTTATTTTGTTGCAGATTTTTCTAAGATTTCTTTCACTGATTTAGATCATTATTAAATAATTTTATGATATAATTATCTGTTATCATTTAATATGTGTGTATGTGTGTGCGTGTGCTAAGTCTTATCGTACCGCTGTGCATATGCTTTAAATTCTTATTAAATTTATTCACTCTAGGGGCAGAAACTCTGCTGGACACCCGCCAATTCGAACCGCACACTTTGAAAACCGACAATGAACTAAAAGTGGCAAATGTATTGTTGCAGCTTATGTAGTTGAAGTGCTTGGGCGATGGCCTAACAGCGCTGCTGCATGCAGCCATAGTGGGAAATTTCTCTAGAGGAGAGTCCTAGCGAGAGCTACGAACATGCTGCCAGCGAACACTTCGTCTACAACACGTTGCACAACTTGTTCGAGCCTGACTGGTTAGTGCCTGATTTTGATGGCCGAATGATGGGTAAGATTAATATGCCCACATCTTAGATCCTAGCTCTTACGTGGGCAAGTAAACTCTGGCAGCAGTCTAGCTTTTAAGCAGTTTATGTAACTGATATCTTTGTTTGCGCAGCGCCCTTGCCAAGTGTCATTCATGGTATTTGTTCTCTTAGCCGACTGTCTCGACTTGTTTATAGCCCACGCAAGCTGCCAGCATTAATATTTTTCTACAAAGGCCCAACCCTAAGTCTGTTTTTGCGTACATTTGACGACTAAAGTTTCACTTTAAATTTCTTTTCTTAGTACATATTTCTAGTATATATGTAAGTAGTGTATAATATATATTATTTCGATCAAGCTTTGTTGGTTTTTTTTTTTCTAGTTCATATATAAGTATCTAGATGTGACTGACCAGTCTTACTTAAAATTTTAATTGCATCTGTCTAAAAAAAAATAAAAAATAAAAAAAAATAAACAATTTTACTTAAATTAAATTATTAAGTAATTTGTATAATTTAATAAGTTGAATTACATTAAGCGGATATAAATATATTATTTTTTAATTTAATTTTTTTTTTATATTATTTTTTATAGGCTATCAGCTGAGTTCTGCTAAGATTATATCGTATTATCTATATTCAGATTTTTGCCACCTGCCAAGTTTTTATAATTATAATTATACATAATTGTTAATATATATTATAATAGCTTATAGCCAAGCTTAAGTCTAAAGTGCAGCCATTTAAAGAAGTTGCATATGGCTTAATCCCTGAACGGCAAACGCTTAGACAGACATACAGTGTATGTATGCAAATAGAATTGATGTCTATGGTGGTAGCGCCCTGTCTAATCCAAATTCAATTGCTTAATCCGGTATGAGAGAGACAGCGACTGGCGAGCAACGTTGAAAGATGGCTGATGGACTGGCTGGCAGGCAAGATGGACTGACTGGTGGACTAGCGGGAGGAGTGGCTGCTGGGTGGATGGACTGATGCCTCTCAGCGATGCTGCTGCTCAGAAAGCTTGAGTTAGCTATTGAATTACGCAGATAAGTAGACATACATACATACATATACATATTAAGCATGTATGTACATGTATGCAGAGACAGCACTCTGATATGTCAACATATCATGTTGCAATCGAGTTTCGGGCGCTAAGTAAGCTGTGCTTGTAGTTTCATCCGTGCTAGAATGCCAAATGGAGCTGGCTAAGATGCTTACACAAAATCGCACTGTTGACTCTTTCATTTTGACCAGAGCTGCTCTCGTTACTCAAGCTCGAAGTGTGTGCACAGATTTTTATTGTATGACGTGCCATAGCAGCATCTTAAGTACATTATGTCCTTTAAGCTTGAGAGCTTCTTTTTTTTCTTTTTTTTTTTTTTTAATTATTTCAAGATACTGTGGCATGTCCTTACAAACGTTTCCATCACCTCTAATTAATTAAGAGGTGTACGTTGACATTTAAGCATATTTTCGCTAGCGCAATATGTACTCAAAGAGCGCTTCAGTGCGGTTTAATTAGCACGGATGACAGGATGTGTGAATATTCACGTTTATTAATTCCATATACTCTTTGCACAAAGTCAGAGCTTTCAGGGCGCATGGCTGGCTTTTAAAACATTTTTTCAATTACCGCAGCGAGTGTCATCTGGCGCACGAGCAGAGCTCATGATGAGTTGACAAATATCAGGCGTTTGTCGGCAAACCGAGAGCCAACTGAATTTTCGCTTTTATGTGAAGTACCTTTTCAGGTGGGTCTTGGCTTTGCCACGTGCGTTGTAAGCGATACGAAATGAAAATGGCGTTTTCGCTTTGTCCCTCAAATTTTCACAATTTTCCATTGTGCTAAACAATTAACAATGCATTGGGGATATGAATATTATTATTGTTATTCTCATTGCTGGAGCTTGCAGTTTGAAATGATTGTACTGAAAACAAATTTTACTGACAGACCAGTCCTTGCCCCGCCCCAGCATTCCACAATTGTTTCTTGAGCTGCCTAATCAGCTGTGAAGCTATTTCGTTTGCAGCTAGAGCTACATATGTTTACTTATCGTGGCTCCAGCTCAGACAGTATAAAAGCCGCTGAATTCACTGAATTGACGTTATTATTCTAAAAATCATTAGGACAAAATGTATATCACTGTCAGCGCTGTATTCCTGTCATTGGGTTTGCTAACTTTGCCAGTGGATGGCAAGAAGTACAAGCAATATCATGTGCCCGCTCAGTATACGAGCACATTGAAAGTGGGTCTCGAGCCGGTTCATGTGATCAAGCTGCCCGAAGTTGAGGAAGTCCCGTTCATTGAACATAGAGTTGAAGATGTTGTGGAGCATGCGGGACTTTCCGAGTTCATTGAAACGTCATCAGTGCGTATGGAGATGGTACTGAAAAAGGTATACGGAAATTTACTTTAAAGAATAAACCCCACTTATGCCATGTATACACTCCCTAGATGAAGCTCGAGTCGTTTGCGAAAAAGTGTCTTAAGAAGGGCAGCCAATGCTTCAGAATGTTGGATTGCTGCTCTGCGCTCTGCCAACGATCGTCGAAAAAGTGTGTATAAAATAGTAATATATTATCATAATTATTTTATAGT